TACAGAAATTGGCGACGAATTTCGTAGCTATGTCACTGACCTAATTTCTAGTAATTCTTTCTAGACTGCATAATATCAAAACACTTACTAAAACACCTTTTCTTGCAGCCGACGCTTTATTAAAACGACTTTCAAACGTTTTCGATCTTATTAAAAGACCTTTCTCAAGAAAATAAAATTAACTAAGTAACAAAATAAACGACATAATCGTAAATCGAACGCTTAGTACGAATAACTGTTTTTTAAATCTTTCGAACTCGCTTATAATCCGTTGTACATGACGTCATTGTAACCGGAAATATAAAAGATTACGTAACTATCTAAATATAAATACTTAAAGATGCCATCTCCCTACATCGTTCAAAAAATATAATTTGAGATACATATTCACTATTTTCTTCAATTATTAATTTTATATTAAGCTAGAGGACCATGCTGCTGATATTTTAGTCGATTCCCGGAAGTTGATTGCGAGGCCTTTATGCTTTGCCTTACAAATCTGCCAGGCTTCCGCGTAATGTCGGTGTCTCCTGTCTCGAACTACCTGCATTAGTCTTGCTTGGTCCCATTCAACATTGACGTCTTGCTGGTCCGCTAGAACGTAGGTGGCTAGCGCAGTGCAAGGTTGTTTTTTTCTTATATTTGCTTGATGTTCTGCTAACCTGTCTTTGATACTNTTGAAAGTCGTTATAATAAAGCGTCGGCTGCAAGAAAAGGTGTTTTAGTAAGTGTTTTGATATTATGCAGTCTAGAAAGAATTACAATTTGGCTCCGCCGGCCAAAAAATATAGAACCTTAGTACTAAAGATCTGCAGAAATAATACGAAGCTAGAATTTTTGACGGAATGCAGAGCTCATAACCTATTTCCCATGTCAATTTGGAGGGTACGTTTACCGCAGGGATGCGCGTCGCTTATTCCTAAACTTAGAACAATCTGTCTACGTAAAGCGATCCGCAATGTTAGACGGAGAAAGTTTGCCCTGCAGAACCAACTTATAGAGTTAGAGAATGAGTTATATGACCAAGACCCTAAGATATTAACAGAAGTTAACGCAAGAGTAATTACACTGGCAGCGCAAGTAACAGAAAGATGTAAGAAGAGATACAGGAACAAAATGAGCTGGATCGTAAAACATCAAGAAGATAGATTTAAAGAATTGATCACCCCGAGGATTATATGCTGGGACAACATCGTTTTGCCTACATTCGTAAAGGAAGCAAGTAAATTCGGCCCTAAATACGCCCCTATACCTGTAATCCAACAGGACAGACTAATACCAGATATCGAGCAGGCACTGGAGGGCCTCAGCAAAAATAAGAAAGAAATGTTTAGATGGGAAGTCGCATTGAAAATCAAGCATGATGAATGTAAAAGGGACAGAGATCCTATTTGGCCGTATATTAGAAAAACTCAGAAATGGCTCAGAAGCAACAACATAGTGCTCACTAGAGCGGATAAATCAAAGGATATGGTGGTTATGAAGAGAACCACATACGACCACATTCTATCAGCATACATTAAAGATACCTGCTGTACGATTGCACCCCCCAACGCTGTAGGGAAACTGCAAGCAAGAGTCAAGAGGTTCGCAACCAATCCTTTAGCCAAAGAACTAGGTATTAAGAATATAATCGTACAGTCCCCTTCGACTCCAAGGCTTTTTGGATTTGCTAAAACTCATAAAAAGAATAAAGAAATAAGACCAGTCGTTGACAAAGCATGCGCCCCTACAATATTACTCGAAAAATGGGTACACAACTTTGTTCGGCAGCATGCCCCTAATAATCCATACAGCGTCAAGCAACCGGTAGAGGTTTTAAACAAAATCGCTAATATTAACTCGCAAGAAGTGAAATATATGACGGTGTTAGACTACAAGGCCTTGTATCCATCAGTTAAACTGGAACCATGCTTTTGTCATTTAAGGGACTTACTACTGAGCAAGATCCCGTCTCCAGAAAAGAAAAGAAAGTACATATTAGACTTGGCACACCTTACAGTCTTCTCTGCGTTATTTAGCTTCAAAGGTGTTACATACACGCAGAAAAAAGGAGTAGCTATGGGCAGCCCCCTTGCAGGTACTCTATGTGAAATGGTACTAACAACGCTAGAAAACACAGTGTTGCCGAAGTATGAAGCGCAAATGATATTGTACGCCAGATATGTAGACGACGTACTTATTTTCTGGAACACTCAACCCAACTTACAGAGCTTTATAAAGGATATAAATGACAATAGATTCGGCCTAGAGATCGAGGTAGAACAAGAAAATGATAAGACCATACATTTCTTAGATCTGCATATACAAATTAACAACTTACGAGGGTTCACGACTAAAGTGTACAGAAAGCCATCCTATAACCCTATATTTATTCCGTGGATTTCTCACGATCCTCCAGCATATAAAATAGCAGCGTTCAGAACGTTAATCGCAAGAGCTTATTCGCACTGTAACAATGCAAATGATAGAAAGGATGAACTGAATTATGTATATAACTTAGCCAGAAAGTACGGGATTAATCTTAAAGCTATTACCAACAAGAGTAGTAGGAGCCTTAAGAGGAGAAATTTACCTCATAATGAAGGAGTGTTAACGATGGAATATAATGCGTCGTTGAATAATATTTTCCGACGCATCGGAAAGGCCCAGAACAAAAGAATCATATATAAAAGAACCCGCACCACGTACCAACTACTGCGATCTGATAAAGATTTAGTGGACAGAAGAACACTCCCCGGGGTATATAAAATTCCAGTTTCGGACTCAAGGCGACGAAGTAAATTAATATATGTAGGGGCAACAGGAAGAAGTATCAAAGACAGGTTAGCAGAACATCAAGCAAATATAAGAAAAAAACAACCTTGCACTGCGCTAGCCACCTACGTTCTAGCGGACCAGCAAGACGTCAATGTTGAATGGGACCAAGCAAGACTAATGCAGATAGTTCGAGACAGGAGACACCGACATTACGCGGAAGCCTGGCAGATTTGTAAGGCAAAGCATAAAGGCCTTGCAATCAACTTCCGGGAATCGACTAAAATATCAGCAGCATGGTCCTCTAGCTTAATATAAAATTAATAATTGAAGAAAATAGTGAATATGTATCTCAAATTATATTTTTTGAACGATGTAGGGAGATGGCATCTTTAAGTATTTATATTTAGATAGTTACGTAATCTTTTATATTTCCGGTTACAATGACGTCATGTACAACGGATTATAAGCGAGTTCGAAAGATTTAAAAAACAGTTATTCGTACTAAGCGTTCGATTTACGATTATGTCGTTTATTTTGTTACTTAGTTAATTTTATTTTCTTGAGAAAGGTCTTTTAATAAGATCGAAAACGTTTGAAAGTCGTTATAATAAAGCGTCGGCTGCAAGAAAAGGTGTTTTAGTAAGTGTTTTTTCTAATTTCTAGTTCGAGAGAGAGCACTTTTACAAATTCTAACCCCTAAATACACTCTCGGTGGAAGGGTGAGTTTGCGAACATCGTCTGTATGGAAGGGTGTGGTGTCTTCCGTGTCTTCTTGCCGATGTCCTCTCTCTGTAGCTGGATCAAGTCCACTGTATGGAGGTTCAGGAGTCAAGGTGGGCACTATCACAAAGTATAACTTCCTATGATGAATCACCCTGAGCTTCTGGAGATTCGAGCTTTTATATCATTAGCGTGGGAAAACTGTCATGTGATTGACTTTTGTTGACGATGATGGTGCATTCTTCACACCTAACTGTAAACTTTCTCAGCTAGTCGTTATACAATCGGTGAAATCCGATCTAGTTCAAATTCTTTGGGTTTTTTCCAAAGACAATTAACAGAAAATTTAGGTTTTTAATTAAGAAGCCAAAAAAATCTGTGAGCTCACAAATTAGTAGCATCTTCTTGCCCCTTGTACTACATCATACTTTACCTGTTAAAAATAGAGTCAAATCAGTACCTTTAGGTACTGATTTGACTCTGTTTTTAACAGGTTTAATTTGCTACTAATTTGTGAGCTCACAGATTTTTTCGGCTTCTTAATTAAAAACCTAAATTTTCTGTTAATTGTCTTCGGAAAAAACCCAAAGAATTTGAACTAGATCGGACTAGACTCTAACTGTTAAAACTGATTGACTCTAACTGTTAAACTGATTGACTATCAGTCAATAGAGTCAAATCAGTACCTAATTGATCAGTACCTAAATCAGTGATTTGACTCTATTGAGTCAAATCACTGAATTCAATAGAGTCAAATCAGTACGTAAAGGTACTGATTTGCCTCTACATTATTTCAATTTTTGAATTGAAATATTATTGAATTTGTATTGAAGTGAAATATTATTGAATATTATTTAATTGAAACATTATTTCAATTCAAAAATTTTTGAATTAAAATAATGTAATTTCCAGTGCAAACTAGAAGTTTGTTTATAGTTAATCAGGGCTCCTGCTCCTAAGCTTTCAATATCAGATCTCGGCTTTCATTTATTTAACACCATTCTAGAGATTAAGGAAGGACAGACAGCTGACAGTGGAAATTTATAGGTCTACATTTTTTTTTTTTTCAAACTGCTGCTCAATCAGAAGTCTAAGCATATACAGATTATGGAAATGAAATTTTACGTAATATCTTTATTGATTTTTAGTCATTAATATTTTTAATATAAGTTTAACTTAACTGAAAATAGAGTAAAATTCCATTTCAGTTTCTGATTCAGCTGCAAGATCTGGTTTCAACTGGACCTTACCCATCTGTGAAAAATGTAACATCATACGATATCCAAAGTAAAGTATTGATATTGATTGGCAGTATCAGGACGTCTATAGGTTTAAACTTGGATTTCCCACAATAATAGGATGACATTGTACTGTACAACCACTTAAGAATATTTTATAATCCCTTATTACACACAGAAGGATTACAAACACTAAATTATTATTAATATATACAAATGTTGTGAAAATTTAATATAAAAGATAAATATTTATCAGATATAAGAAAATTCAATTTTAAATACCTTTCTAATGTTATCTTCAGAATTAAGAAAACTCATCTCTGATAACTGAGGATCTATATTTACATTCCTTTGTAAATAATTAAATATTTCTGAAAATAAACATAATTTAATTATACAATTAAAATTTTTTAAATAAAAGAATTTAAAATATATTGAATTTTTTATTAATAATATACATTGTAACATTTTCTGACCTTTTAATTCTGTTTTATCAATAAATTTTTCTTCTTCTTCTACATAAGGTAATGGAATATTTCTAGAATCAATAATTTGCTCATTTCCATCATGAGCAGGAAAAGTATTAAATAAAAAACCATTAAGACCTCCAGTATCAAACTCATTAGACATCTTTAAAAATAATGGATCAACCTAATACAAGAAATAATTTCTTTAAATTTTTATAGTTGTTATTAATATATATTAGTTGTAATAAATTTTGTAAATATACATAAAAGTAAAAGTATCTTAATTTTAAACTAGAGATGAAATAGTGGAAATACAATCCCATCAATTCATAGTAATCAATAGTATAAAAAATAATGTGGTGAACACTTTGCTCCAACTGCTTTTACTCCCCAGTACTGATTTAAAAGGAAGTTGAGTGAAACTGATTAGAGATGAAACTAAGCAAATAATAATTTGAATCATCTGAATATGAATCATATTATGCTATGATTTTTATTACATTGTATTAAATGCACTTTATTGTAATCTGAATCTTATAAAAGAAATTAAAAAAGTTTCTAAAAATTACCATTAAATAAATAATAATAATATTGTTGCCAACAGCTAAATTTTCTAATAATTCTAAACAGTCACTTTTGTATAGTTCATATTATCTACTACATTTACTGTATTGATGAATTTCTGCAAATATTGTAACTACTCAATATTTACATAATAATATGGCTCATCTTATCTTCAAATATTTTAAGGCAATCATTGGTTATTTCTTACAAGGAGACTAACCCTTGCCCTCCTCAAACTGTTTGATTTTATAAAAATATGTTATAGTACACTTATCTGACTAACACATAGTAAAGTAACTCTTGCCAATGTGCAAGGGTTTGCAAGATATCAACATTTAAAGTTTTCTGTTTTGGTTATATATTGAATTCATAAAACAAATTGGAGACAAGCATAGCCAAATGAGTAAGATGGCTGATTGGCAAGCTCAATGTTGCAGCTTCTCATCTCTCTTCTTTTGAATTTTCATTTTCTAAAGCAATCTTTACCTGTAATACATAATCATGTGAATTATATACATTAGGCCAAAAACATCATTTTATATAGCTGCTTCAGAGGATACAATTAAAAATTCACTTGCTTCTTTTGCACCCATTGAGAGAATTATTTTTTCTTCCAATAATAAAATATGCCTGTTATGCCTTCAAACTTTGATGACAGGTCAGTATTTTTAAATGTCAATGAATTCTGCTTCCTTTAGAAAATATAGAATAAACCATACTCTTGATATTGTTTTTATTAAATATATGTGATGTCAATCACTGCTTTAACTTTTGATTTTTACCATCCAAATGTGTAAAAATTTTCATTTGGAACAAGTTTCTGAGGACAACAAGTGATAAAATTATGATGCTAATATACTTTTATATGATACACAAAATAAAATAAAAGAAATTAGAGAGGTAGAAAGCTGCAATATATAGCTTGCCAATCATTCTTACTAGTTTGACTATGCTTGTCTGTGGTTCATTTTTACAAACTCAGTATATAACCAAAACAGAAAATTTTAAATATTGATATCTTGCAAACCTTGTGTGTTGGCAAGAGTTACTTATACTACTTATCCAACTAATATGCAATAAACATTAAAAAATCAATCAATTTGAGGAAAGTAATTTGATGGTTCTCTTGACAGAGTACAACTATATAGTAATTAATATAGTAAAAATGAGTTCTGTTAAACAAATTGTTAATTTTTCACAAAATGTTCAAATGTGTTTAGATTTATGATAAATCTTCTGTAATAAAATTCTAATTTCTCAACTTTCCAATGGTTAAAAATGATAAATTTTAAATTTCTTCCGTTTAATACAATAATAGATTATCTAGAAAGAATTATTTCCATTTTTTTAAAATTAGTTACAGAATATACAAATTTAATTATGAAACATTTACAAACAGGATATATATATATAGTGGGTGATCAGTTAATGAACAGTTTGGACTATGAACAAATCAGATAATGAACACTTTTGCAAAAGATTTTTATGTTTGAACATCTCATAGAACGAACACAAGAAGAAGTGATATAAAATAATGAATAATAATTGATCTTCCCTTGTCTTCAGCCAACAATTCAAAACTTTTCAGATTGCAGGAGACATTGACATTGATGCTCAACCTAATATATACTGATTGGATAGTATTCCTCCGAACTTTGAAACTCACTCTTGTAATTCCAGCCTTTTATTTTATTCCTGACGAACAATTTTTTTTGTAGTATTCGCGAGACTGTTGGGTGGGTACTTGTTAAATTTTGCATCAGTTTTTATTTTCGAAAGGTAAGAGTATATAGACATCTATAATTGCTGTAAATAATTGGGCTATAATTTGGAAATATTAATTACAAATAAATTTGTAATTAATATTTCCAAAATATAGCTTGATTATTTACGGCAATCATGGGTGTCTGTTTGCTAAGCATTGGGTTTCAGTAGATGTTTATATCGGTGAGAGTATAACAGCAAAAGTAGAAAGTGGGCAGATGTCTGATGTTGCTGGACAGTATGGCATGAACAGGTCTACAGTAAGCCACAGTTCAGTCTTATTTAAGAAAAATGCTGTGTAATCAAGAAGACTCAAGCAGCTAAAGGAGTAACAAAAAAGTCACATCTGAGAAATAAAGAACATTGAAGAGTTCATAATGGAATCTGAAATGGATCTGATAACAGAATGCCAAGAACTCTTGAATGAAGAACAGGTGGAAAAAATAAACAGGCTGTACCAATAGGCATAGCCTTAAAGTAGGGAAGAAATAGTGGGTAAAATGATGTCAGGAGAAGAGTGGGTGGAAAAGAAGGATATGAGGGGGGGAGAAAGTCTAGAAAGATGAAGAAGGAAGTGGAAGTGAGACACATGAGCATCCTGTCGGGTAACATTTTTTAAGAAAGAAATATAAATTACAAAATTTCCCACATAAGGAAGAACAATTAAATGTAGCTATTTACAATGAAGTGTGCTTTTACAATTAATACCAGAAACAAATGGTCACCATAGAAGTGGTGTTACAGAGAAGATATGGCAAGACAGTTATCTGCAGAACCAAATGATGAATATCATTTTGTGCTGTTCCGCAATGGGCGATGGATCTTCTTAAAAATGTCCATGGTTGAGATGAAGTTCAGAAACATTTTTCGGAGCACTCTATTCTCTAGAAGAAGAAATGGCTGGAATGATTATTTTTAAGGACACTCACTGGCCATCAGTTTGAGACGCGGATTCATCACACCGCTGGCAATAAAAGAGGAGGTGCATAGGAGTTTCGTCCTCCTAAGGATAGTGAGGGCATTTACCATCGCTACTACCAGGAACTGTCTCAGGTATGCATTAAAGTTCCTGTGCCCAGTGATAAGTTATAAGCTGAGTAAGGTGGAAGGTTGGTGTCAGGTGCCAGAGAGAGGAGGAGGTAACCTTCAGGAGAAACTGATGAGTGAGCCTACCAGTTTCACTGATATCCCACCATGCCTTGGCAGTTTGTTGATTGAGGTGTTTAGTGATCCAAGAGGTAGGGATTAGAGAGAAAGTCTTAGAGGTGAGCCTTTAGGGGGCCACCCTTGTGAGTTGGTCTGTGCAGTCATTCCACTTGTTATTTGAAAGTCCTTTTATCCAATAGAAATTTATTGACAGCTTCTGCTGCAGGTTAACTAAGAGGGTGGTGATGTCATTGATGGTTTTGAGGTTTAAGTTCCTGTTATGGATCTGGTGAAGAGTCACCCTTGAATGAAGAACACCAAGAAACTTGGCGAGATATGTTTTCTTCTGAAAAAGAGGATTAATGTCGATATCTGCTATCAAAGATCTTTTGAAGTGGAAGGACATCAGAACAGCAGTCTTAGAATGGCATCCAAACCAGGTTGAGGTTAATAGGCTTGGGGATCTCTACAACGACAATGCTATTAATTACTTCTGAAAAATCCTTAAGAAGTAAGAAAAGCAATTGACATTAGCCAGATTCTTTAACCCCNTTTGCAAAATATTGATGTCTTTTGGATGAAGAGAAAAAAAAATGTATCCAGAATTGGCAAGGGAGGCTTTAAAATTATTAGTGTCATTCGCCACTTCTTGCCTATGTGAATTAACATTCTCTTCAATGGTGGACATAAAAACTAAAAAGAAAAATAGGCTTCAATTAGAAAATGATTTAGTTATTTGCATTAAAAATGCAAGACTGTATATACATGTATTTTTATTATTACATATAAATAAACGTAGTAAAAAAGTATATATATTTTTTTATTTTTTGGAGTTTCCAGAACAAATTAATCAAATTCCCATAAAAACCTATGGTAAATCAATAATCAGTTAATGAACAATTCGGACAGTGAACAAAGTCTTGGAATGGATTATGTTTGTTAACCGATCACCCACTGTATATATTTTCCTATAAAAATGACATATATACCAATAAAAAATATTTAAAAATTTGTCGGAATAATTTATTAAATACAGTAGAGCAGTGCTTTTCAACCTTCTTGAATACGCGATCCCTTTACAAGTTAAAAAATTCTGGCGACCCTTCAGGGCCATATTAAAACTATGTCAGTGATTTTAAAAACTACATATTTAATTTTCTTTCTGCTGAGACCTAAATATCTATTGAAAAACCAATTGTACTGTGCAAATAAGTCACAAGAGCCCTGCAAATAGTAACTTTGCCATGGGGCGCTGGAGGCAAATGCACCAACAAGTACAGATGTGATTGTATTGTCTTTGCGCTTTGCTCCGCAAGAGCATAAAATGGATAAATTTCTCAAAAGATCGCAGCCCTCCATGTCTGGTACAAGTGGCAGTGACGGAAGTGAATCAAAACCGAAAAAAAAAATAGACATTACGACGACAATTATTTGAAATATGGGTTTACTGTCATGAATAATAAGCCTCAATGTGTAATTTGCGGCGATGCATTATCACATGAGAGTATGAAACCATCAAAGCTTATGTGTCACCTTTCAACCAAACATTCCAAAGAAGCTGATAAACCGCTGGATTTCTTTGAATGTAAGCTGAAAACCCTTAACCAGCAGCAAAATACTATGATTCAGGTAATAAAATAGTATTGTTATTTGGTGATTAAAAATAATATTTATTATCGCTCAATTATTTATTTGTTTTTCTGATTTTTTGTCTGTTTTTAGGTATCCAGTGTCAACGAAAATGCATTGTTAGCTAGTTACAGAGTCGCACACTGAGTCACTAAAGCAGGGAAGCCACATACAGTTGCCAAAATCTTATTTTGCTAGTAGCCCTAAATATCGTTGAAATTATGTTAGTTAGGCAGGAGGCAAGCAAGCTAAAAAACATACCACTTTCTGACAATACTATTGAAAGCAGAATAAATGATATGGCCAGTGACATTCAAGAACAAGTAGTCAAGAAATTAAAGAAGAGCCCACATTTTGCTTTGCAGTTTGACAAATCTATTGATGATTCAGATTGTGCACAGTTTGTAGTATTTGTGCACTTTGAAGCAGATGAAAGTATCACAGAAGACATTTTATTTTGCAAAGCACTTTCTTCAAACACTACAGGTCAGTGTTTGTACGACATATTTTTAGAAAGCACTCGCGACTACAAGATTGATTGGACAAAATGTATCACCATTTGTAGCAATGGCACTAAAGCTATGACTGGACAAAAAAAGCAGACTCATTGCAAATTAAAATCAATAATGCCAAATGTCTCATGGACACACTGCTTTCTTCATCGACATGCTCTGGTAGCCAAGATTTTACTTTCTGATTTAAATGACATGCTTAAAGAGATGATCAAAATTGTGAACTCTGTTAAAGGTAAAGACTTGCAAACCCGACTGTTCAGAATCATTTGTGAAGACATGGGTTTGCTCCATCAAAATCTCCTTTATCATACAGAGGTCAGGTGGCTATCCAAAGGAAAAGTATTGATAAGAGTTTTAGAACTGAAAGCTGAATTGTTAATGTTTTTACAAGGTGCTAAATCTGAATATGTGAATTATTTATGTGACCCTGTTTGGTTCCTAAAGTTAGCATTTCTTGCTGATCTTTTTAGCCAGCTGAATATTTTAAACAAGAAACTCCAAGGGAGAGAAGAAAACATTCTGACAGCTAAGGATAAAATCAAAGGATTCTTCACAAAACTTCGTTTGTGGTCAACGTCTTTGCAAATAAATATAAATGAGTCTTTCCCTTGTGTTCAGAAGATTGTCAAAGAAACTGCAATGGATCAATTGTTGGTAGTAAGTTCTCATATTCCTTGCATGATACAGAGCTTGCATAATTTGGAAGAGAAACTATTAACTTACTTTCCAAAACTGACTCTGAAGCTGACAATGGGCATAGGTGGATACTAAATCCTTTCATGGATATGTCAGTACAACTGGCTGATCTAACCACAAAGATGAAAGAAAATCTTATCGATTTAGTTGCTGACAGTATGCTTAAAATGGAATTTAATTTGCAAAATATTGATGTCTTTTGGATGAAGAGAAAAAAAAATGTATCCAGAATTGGCAAGGGAGGCTTTAAAATTATTAGTGTCATTCGCCACTTCTTGCCTATGTGAATTAACATTCTCTTCAATGGTGGACATAAAAACTAAAAAGAAAAATAGGCTTCAATTAGAAAATGATTTAGTTATTTGCGTCTCAAAAATAAAATCACGTTTTGACAAATTATTAAAAAATAAACAGGCACAGCCTTCTCACTGAAATTGTAATTTTTTTTTTATTGTAGTGAAGGACCTACAAACACTTGTCTTTTTCTTTTACCTGCGACCCCCCCATGTAAGGCTTTGCAACTCCCAGATTGAAAAACACTGCAGTAGAGCATCGATTATTCGAAACAATTCGGGACTGGGGTTGTTCAGATAATTGATTTTTCGGATAACCAATTATGTATGGAAACAATATATTAACCTATCCCATGTTGAAATTCATTCAAATTCTGGCACATCTTTAAGTACCCTCACATGGTTGCACCAGTGCTGCCAACTAAAACACGCACACCAACAAAAATAATATTGGAGTAGCCCAAGACATAGCCAAATATTTCAGCGCCACAGCACTAGTGAAAATTTAAATTTGCCAACTGGAACGCTTTCGATTAACCGATGCTCTACTGTAATAGAATTTTGAACGAACAACATCTTTCTGTAAAACAATTACATAAAATAATATATTATATATATAAATAAATTAAACAAACTAACCTGAAATCCTGAATCAAACTTTTTTATATTTAGTGAATTTGGATTTTGTTCAACAGTACTACTTTTCTTCAACTATTTTAAATTAAATTATAATTGAGAAAGAAAATTAATTAAACAAATAATTCTTTAAAAAATATTTAAAATAATCAGCCATAAAATTAAAGTAAGAATTTTGTTAATAACTTTGATTGATTACTTATTAATAGAAAAGAAATTTTAGTTAAATCATAATAAAAATTATTTTTCATTGAAATATATCCATTATTCCTTAGAAAATTAGGAAAGAGAAAAATTTACTACTCTTAAATAGTAAATATTTCTGAGCTAGTTATGATTAAGCATTCTGTATAAATTTTAAGTATATATTTTTTGGATTATAATCAAAATTATAATTTGTTTAAATTAAAAATATAACACAATCTCAACAAATAATAGAATATTACATCTATGACCCCTGCTGATTTTGATGAATTTTGGCACAAAGGCATTGTTTGTTATAATGCAATCCTCCAAACAGTTTCATAATGAGCAAATTATCAAAGTTTAAAAATTAAAGTATCCATTGCATAATCTGCTGCCATCGACTAGTTTGTAGAGATTCTGCCCTATCACAGACAACTTTTTTGGTTTTTAGTTATGTTACAATTGTAAAACTTTTTTATTCTCAAGTGATGATATTTATAAATAAATGCATGTCTGATTCATTTTTCTGCTTGAAAGTTTGTTAATAGCAGATGATATTTTAGAATTCAGAAAATAAGAAAATTGGACATGAGAGGGTTTTTTTTTGGATTTACTCCATTCTTTTCACTCCACAGACACGAAGCCGAGATGACCACGGACACTTTATTCCCATAAAATTCTATGATTACCTGGAGCACTTAGTCACGACAGCCGAGGAGTCAAGACAGTTAGCTTGACTGCATACATTAATGACCCAACAGGAAGATTGAGGATGTTACGATGCCATGTACCAAACAGTGTCATATCCACCTAGTGATCTTGTGTGAATATTTATAACTATTCACTAGATGGGTCTAGGTAACTATAATAAGCAGACTACTATTTTATTATTTTTATTGTTTTTGAAGAAAATAAAATTTAGTTTAAGATCAGAACAAAATTGTAAAAAAAAAATCAATGTTTTATGTTGCTCATATTTTTAAACTTCAAGAATTTAATATAACTTGCCTTTTTCTTTTTCTTATCTGTTTTGCCATGTTCTTCCCCATTTTCTACATTTTCAACTTGCTCTATGTTAAAAATTTGTTAAGAAATTATTCAATCAATATTAAAACATAAATTAATTAATATATTAAAATCAAACCATTATTCTTTCTATTATCTTCAACAATCCCCAAACCACTAGCAATTTTGAAAGTATTGGCATAGACACAATCCACACGAGAAGCATAAATTTTAGTTCCAGCATCAAGAGTGCAACTTGCAATCTTAAATAAGAAAGTTAAAATTTTTTATTTAGTGTTTTTGTAATATATTTTGTATGTGAACAAATTTTTTCTCTAAAATTTAAAATACTGTATAGAACATTTTACAATAAATAAGAAATAAAAATTTTTAAAAGCAAATTTTAAAAAAGTTTGAAATTTTCTCTTAAAGGGATTACATTTCTGCAAGTGTTCAAAAATATACTTTCTTATTTAAACTTTTAGTTTTATTTTATAGAGTACAACATATTCCTATATAAAAAATAGCACAAAATCTAAATATAGGCAATGAAAACAACTAAATAATTTTATTTGAAGAAAATTAATATTTGAAAATATATTTTTTACAGTTGATTAAAATGGCTGAAGTGTATTTACATATTAAAACTACATATGAAGACAATTTTTGTTTCTTCAAAGTCCAGCATTCATAATTACCAGAAAAAGTCTTCACTCACAATAGTTTTGAATATTAAAAACATCCACTGGCTATGATACCAAGAATTAAAACAAATGACAAAACAAAGAATTTAATTCTTGACATTGATGTTTTTAACTGTTTTGCATATTTTACAAAGGCATAACCTCTATAAAAACTCATCTCTGTAAATGAAAACTTTTTTTTGTTCCTGGTGACTGAGTGACATATTTGTGAAGACAATTTTTGTTTCTTCAATATAGTTTTAAGTATATTTCTATCTTATTACAAAAGATGTGTCCCTTATATATAGCAAATTTCAAGTTATGCCTGCCATTCAAGATTAGTAATAAATAGTTCAATATATTGACTGTTTCTTGAAATGTATAAGATGTATTAAAAATATTGATCTTTTAATTTTTAATTTTAGTTATATATATCTACATTTAGATTTATATTTATATACTTTAAAGAATTTATAATAGTAAATTGATTGAAATCTACTAAATTGTTATAGGAGATTAAAAAATTAAAAATCTATATTATCAAGAAATAATTACCTGAAAGTTTGTTTCACCATCTTTATTTAATATTTCAGGCATATAATCAATAAGATGAAGTCCAAATGCATTCTTAACATTTATTTTCTAAAAAGATATCATTTATATTTTTGTACAAGATATTCATCTTAATTTCAAATGAATATATTGAAATTATAGTTAATCCAAAAGTGTTAAAATACCATACTAATACTACAATTCATATTATAAAAATTATAGAATCAGCCAAAAAAATTAAAGTTCAAATTATAAACAAAAAATTATTCCTAATTAAGAGTTACTAAAACATTACAAATAAGGATGCACCGATTAATCAGTAAGTAATCGGTAATCGGCCATTTCCTCCGATTAATCGGTTTTAATAATCGGTCAATTTTGTATTTTAATATTTTTGTTAGAATGTCATGTAAAAGGCTAATAATAAAAAATATTAAATTTTATATATTTATTATTTATTACATGACACTCTAAATATTAAAAAAAAATTAACTTAAATTATTTCTTTTATCAATACATATCATAAGGTATAATGTAACCTATTCAAAACTATCTGTTTTATTTAAAGTTTAAACTTTAAACATATAAAACAAATAAAAATTTAATATTCAAACTTTAAAACCCTTAAACTGTAATACAAAAACATGACAATTTCACCATTTTCAAAGCTCTTAAATGTTACCTCCAACTCTGAAAATTCTTTCACTTTCAATGGAAGATGCTGAGGGACTTAGATATTTCATAGCTATTTTGCTTAAATTAGAAAAAAA